TTCTTAGGATGGGGGGGGAGTCCTCAACACAAAAACTGCAGGCCCAAAGAGGTCAGTCAGTGCCTCAAGGAGAAAATTCTAAACTAGAAGCAAGTTTTCCCACTCCACACATCCTTAGCAATGTTCTTCCTCAACAATCCTCTTTGGAAGGTAGAAGGCAAGGTTCCAGGATTTGGTAACATTCTGACTTCTGTTATGAGAGTCCAAGGGAGATAGATTTTCATCTTATACAGCCAAACTCGGCTAAACTGAGGGTGGAGTGCTAGACTAGGTATGCATAAAGCAAAAGAAGAGAGGGATCTCCTTTCAGCCGGAATGGGAGAGTCCCACTGGGTTCTGGTTGCCATCAAGAAGGCTCAAAGTCTCCTCCTACACTGTTTTCTTAATTCCATTTGGAAATTTCAAGGTTTATGGTTCACAGGAGGTGAATGAGGTTATCTAGACCTGGCCAATCATGAACAGAATGTTCCAAATTTGGACTAGATACCTCTCTCATCACTGATGTAGAAATCACTGAATTCCTGGGGTCAGTGCAGTTTTCCCCGGAGCCACCAAACATGATAAGAGTTGTAATCTATCCGGAGTTCAGTGTCTAGGGTCTGGGGGATGTGGGACTTTGTGACAGTGCTGGACTCTGGTCAGCAGTAAAACAGTTGTAGGTTTGGAAAATATTAAAGGAAGGACCTTGAGTGAGGACTGAGCAATCTTCCCCCTCCTGAAGAAATAGAGCTACTAATCCTCCTTTCTTAGAGGCTTAACCCTTGAGCTTCAGTTTCCCATCACAGCTTCTATACGTATTAGGAGTGCCACGTAGAAAGCCTAAGGGAGATGAAGCCATCTTTGGGACACTGGGCTGATATTTTAACAGCAGGGAGATGAATCTTAGCCTTGGAAATCTCTAGAAGAGGCGCTTATGAGACTAAGAGGACTCTGAAAGGAGAGTAGCATCGTTGGCCTTCTCCAAAGCTACAGAAGGGCTCAAGTTCTCCTGTGAAACAGATAATGCAGAAAATCTCCAGACAGCTCCAGTAAGGTATTGTTTCCAGAGTTCCAGTTTGGGACTTGGACGGAAGCGAAGCTTTTTGATGTAGAGATAGACTCTAGTTATCAGAGGGGTGAGAAGATACTGAAAGAGAAGTGGGAGCCTGAGATTTTCTCACAGAAATAGCATGGCTCCCACACTATTTGTCAAAGTAGTTGCTCCAAGAATCTCTTGGCAAATTTTTGGTCTAAACTCAGATACCGTGTACTATGTCTAGAGTCTGAGGAAAATTACATTTTTCAGGAGATGACTGAGCCAGATTTAGTCTAGTACAGATTTAGGATAAAACCATTTCCCTGTCTGATTTTGTGTGCAGCTCTTTGAAAGTTAACTGAATTTGGGTCAGAGGTTACCCTGCTTAGATAGCCATTGGAAGGAAATTTTTAAGAAAGTGCTGGGAGTGACCAGAGGAATCCCTATCGGGTAAATCAGTTCTATCTGCTCAGTCAGTTCCCCTTCCTTTAACTGTTTTTATCATGTCTTACATGCCTGGAACCCAAGGTAAGACTTTATGAGGGGCATATGAGGATGGGGAGGGAGGAAATAGAACCTGTTCTCTTACTCATAGGAATAGGGCCCAAGGAGATGCCTTGGGAGCCTCTAGGTCAGGTACATTTAGGGAAACACATTAAACAATGCATTCCCCCCAATTTTGCTAGAGATAGTCTTAGGGCCTCAAAGAAAGAAATCTTCACCTGAGCAATGTGTCTGGATAAGACAGCTTGACTTCTGATCATAAGGACGATGAATTCACACAGAAATGGTGGAACAAGCACATTCAGCAGCTAAGGCCTCCACCTTCAATACTGAACACAAGAGGGGGCTTGGCTGTCCCTCATTTACAGAGGTCTAACCTCACAGTCTATTCCTCCTTAGCCAATTTTGGAAAGCAGCAGGAAAAGTAAAGGAGAGGAGGTGAGGGATGTTTATGGCTAGATAGGCATTCCTTTCTTTTATTCCTTATTTTATTTCATTTTCATGTGTATGGGTGTTTTGCCTGCAAATTTATACATGGATTATGTATGTGCCTCATACCCATGGAGGTCAGAAGAGGGATTAGATGCCCTGGGACGGGAGGTACAGATACTTATGAGCTACCATGAAGGTGCTGGGAACTCATTGTAGGTCCTCTGGAAAAGCAGTCCATGCTCTTAATTGCTGCGTTGTCTCTCTACTCTAATATTTCTTTTTAACAAAGAAGGAAATTTGGTTCCACTGGCTGGTCAAATATTCCTGGAGCACAAAGGGCAATAAACATAGAAAAATGAGATTAGACCTCTCTCAGAATATATCTATCTGGGAATGCAGAAAGCAAATCTGAGAGCATGTATGTGCAATAGTGGGGAAAGTGGAGAGTTCAAGGTTCATTATAAAGTATTTGACAGAAAAGATGAAAATTTGATGTTTTTACAGTTCTGTATTGGAGGCTGGAGGGATGTGAGGCTTTTGGATGTGGGACTGGACTTGGGCTGGCAGGTGAGGAGTTCTAACAAACCATGATGAATGAGTAGGAGCCTTTCTCTACAGTGACATGAGGGTGTTGGTCCCACATGCAAAGAAAGTTTCTGACAGAATCTCCACTCCCGACCATGACTCACACTAATTTGTTTCCCAGACTTTCATGTCTGGAGATCATGGAAGTGAAACTTATCTGCAGAGAGTTCTGTACTCACGTTACTAAGGGAGAATTTCTAGCCTGAGCAAATATTGTGGGTTTTTTAGAGGTGTCTTGGTTCTTGCCTTCTTGAAGGAATGACTTAGATGACTCAAGAAATGTCCACTGTTTAAAAAGATGTTAGTTTAACAAAGGTAAACAAAGCAAACACTACAAAAGCAAAATGGACTGGGCTGCCCCAAAGAAAAGAGCTGCACTGATTAGTCTATGTAAGAATATTTTTAAAAAGCTATGAGTTTTCATGGAGTATGTGGCACATATCTAGGATAAGGTAAGCAAGGCTCAAAGCCATAATGTAAGTGGTATAATGAAGTTCCGGCATTTTAATGATGTGACTTTACACGTGGGGTAAAATGTTCTGGTATCTTAGCTTGTGATAAAGCAGCATGAACCTCAGCTTCACTTCAGGAATGGTTAACTACCAAGGTGCATTCCTTCACAAGACACGATTACCAGGGTCCTGCTGCAGCTTTCAGCAGTTAATTCTTATCTAAGCCTTTGCCTTCCCAGCATCATTGTGAAGGGCTTACCTTGAAGGAGGTCTGGGAGAATTTCTGTGTTCTTTGTTCCCATAGATAAAATTACTCTGCCTGTGCCCTCCCAGGAAGTCATCCCTGCCTGAATGAAAGAAGGAGAAACAATGTATGATTTCCTGGACCCTATGCTGATAGTTCAAGGGAATTGAGACTTTAGAGAGGGAGCTGAAATTTGAGTCCTGAGGAGGTGGAACGTGGGTGAAGAATGTGAACAGACCTCATCCACGGACACTATAGAATGCCAGCCCCTCTTGCCAGGATACTTCCTCCCGTCGGTGGGGGCTTCAGGCTTCATCACAGTTGTAAATATTTTCCTTGTGTTCCATGACTGGAATACAAGGGATTTTCGGCTTTTTCATAGTGGACTTCACTCCTTGATGATGCATATCCTTCTGTGTAAACAAAAGACTTGGAATGGAACCTTCTTTTCTCCATAGAAATAGTGGGATCACCATCCTTTGCCTCTCAGAGTGCTCTGTTTTAAGTCTTGGCTCAAATTCCTTCTTTCCAGGTGTGTCATGACCAGAGTCCACAGGAGAGGAGGATTTGGGGGTGTTTGGACATAGGACTGCTGAAAAGGATTCCCAGACAAGACAAACATTCAAGTGAAGGAGGACTATCATGGCACCAAGGGGGAATTAAGAGGACTACCCTTTCCAAAAGAAGAATGGGGCTGACCCTGTCTACAAGGGCCATCATCTCTGGTCCACAAGGGCTGGATAAGCAGTGTGCTGTTTCTTGGATTCCATATTGATAGTCTCAGGAGATGGAGGCTTTTGGATCATTATAATTCTAACCTTGGTAAACATCAAGGCAAAGACGATGGCAGTTGAAGACTATCCATTTTCACTTTCCCCAGAAATATTATGGTTTCCAATCCTGTGTTTTCAAGTAGTTTCCTTAAAGTCTGGGGGTTGCCTGTCAAATTTTGGGTGAAATAATTTGCTTTCCTGAATTCCATGTGGGGAATCCAAGGAAGATGTATATTTTAGTGAGAGAGCTGGATTAATATCAGCAAATGAATAGGGAAATATTGAGGAGAGACCCTATGAAGAATGAATGGAAAATCCTGATGGGGCTTTGGGAATCTCCTACTGCCTCACATGTATAGGGATTTGGGCCTCATTTTCCCAGAATTATTATGATGAAGCATCCAGAAAGGCTGAGGAAAGTGGTTGACTGAGGGCAGTGGATTATTTGGAGGAGGTAATAGTCCACACTCATCTTGGGAGAATGCTAGCCTTAAGGGTTAGCATCCTAAAAGAAGAGTGGAAGGAAGGCTCCCTGACCACTAGAGAAATAGTTAAGTGACTGTGCTCTTTAGCTAGGCTGTGTCATGGGAATTACTAGGCAAGGTTGCAGTTCTAAACATTGTTTCCATACTTTCAACGTCAGCCGTCTGTGGGATCTGAGGCTTTGGGACAGGCCAGAATTCAGGAGAAGTCCTAATCTTGAGGGGATGAGCATGAAGGACAGATGGGAGCCTTTCCACCCCTACAGAAATAATAAGGCTTTAGTTCTCTTTGACCAGATTGTGGCTGTGGGAATCTCTAAGCAAGGTTGCAAGTCTAAACATTGTTTCCACAAGCTCAATATCAGGACTATGGGACTTGAGGTCTTTGAGATGAGCCTATTAGCCTGGAGCTGGTTTATCAGGACCAGTCTCAGCCTTGAGTGGGAGGAGCCTCAGTAGTGGGGGCTTTCTCTTTTTGTACAAAGAAAGGTGTGGCAGATTTTGCCATTTGCTCAGACTGTTGCCACAGAGGCATCCAGGATATTCCAGCTTGGTGTTTGTTGCTTGGAGCTCCGTGTCGGAAGTCTAAGGGAGGTAAGGCCTTTTATGAGAGGGCACTGTGCTTAGTAGAGCACAGGTTCCACCCTCAGGGGATATTGATGAGAGAGCTCTGAGAGTAGATAAGAAGTTGAGGAGCAATTGGATGCATACATATACCAGGTCTGTCCAGTATACATCTCAGAAATGATCCAGAAAGGGTACGTGCTATATTAGTTCCAGCTTTCATCTGGGATACTAAAAGCAGTAACATATTGAGAGTGGGCAGAACTGGCTAAGCAAGGAATAAGTCCATGACTGGAGGAATGTAAGAAATGGAGAAATAGATGTCCTTGGAAGGACAGAGATGGCAGATTGGGAGACTTGGTCTGTAGCACAAATAATAGATGGTTATGAATCCTTTCTTGGTTGAGATACTTTTATGGAGGGAGCTAAACTCATCTCATTGAAGAAATAGTCCCAGCTTTGAGTGGAAAGACACTAAAAGATGATAATGTGAGCCTTCCCACTAAAAGAGGCTTAAGTAGTCTCAGTTGTTGATGTAGGAGAGCCAGGGAGACCCAAGGAAAAAGGGTTCATGCTGTTTATCCCTTCCTTCTGTACCCAGAGTTAGAGGGAGATGAGGCTTTTAATCAAGTATCTGGACTATGGCTGTCAGAGCATTCCCAACTCCAAGAAACATGGAGAAGTTCATGAATTTGGGGCCTATCCATTTCCCACAGATAGAGAGAGGCTGCTCCACTTTCTCAAACAGCATTCACCTCAGGGAAGCTTTAGGCACTATGAGTAGTCTAATGTTTCTAGAACTTTATCTTGCAAGGTGAGGGAGGTGATGTTTTGTGGAAAGATTAGGACTCTGGTCATCACATGTAAGAATATGAACCTTGAAAAGGAGGACCTTGAGAGAGCAACCTTTTTTGTCATCCCCTCACCTGTAACCTGGAGAAACTGGGACAGAACCTCAGTGCTGCTTGCCCAGAAAATTTCCTAATTGACCTATAGGGCAGTGATTCTCAACCTTCCTGATGCTGTGACCTTTCAATACAGTTCCTCATGTTGTGATGACCCCCAACTACGCAATTATTTTCATTGCTACTTTATAACTGATATTTTGCTACTGTTATGAACCATAATGTAAATATATGATATGCAGGATATCTGATATGTGACTCATGTGAAAGGGCCATTTGACCCACAGGTTAAGAACCACTGCTCTAGGGAATGGCACAGTAGGAAGTATTTTTGCTTACTTGGTGAAATGCTCAGGGAATAAGAGAGGTAATAACTTGACATCTAATATTGACTTGTGATTTTCACTGTAATTCCTACATGGTGAAAAATCAGTGGCAGATCTCTAGGGAGGACTTGGAAGACTCTGAGGAAAGATGAAGAATCTGCCAGTCTTCCACAGAAATAGACCTCTGTCACTATTTTCCTCAGCTCCTGTCCCTGTGTGACACTAGACAGGCTGATCAATGGGACTCTTTGCTGAGAGGCTGAGAGAGTTGAGTATTTTCAGCAGAGTATTAGACACCCAACAGTCTTGAGGGATATGACTCCGAGGGAAGAATCAGAGCATTTCCTTCTTCCACAGACTTACTAGAGAAATATCATTGCTCACTAAGGTGGTTGCTTATTGGTCATTAAAGAAAAAAATAACCTGAAGGAGGACTGGGAAAATACTGAGAGAAGAGGAGGGTCCTTTGGGAGACTCTCCCTTTCCCTTCAGAAATCAGTAGTGTTCATCTTGCTTACCAAGATGCTGAGGCTAAACCTCAGCAAGAACACTTAATTTAACCCTAATTCTGTGTTAAGATTCCAAGGAAGATCCATCCTGTCAGAAGGTGAATGTACTCCAAAAAGCTGGGTAGGATTATTTGCCTTGGAAAACATCCAAGAGACTGCCCCAATAATGGAGGACTGGGCAAAGTATGACAGAGTCTTATCCCTGATAGTCTACAAACCTCTGCTGCTAATCACAGTGCAGTCTCTTCATAAAAGGCCTCCCAAATACGATATCGTTGACATAGCATATCATCTTCTCTCTCTGGAGCCCCTTCCCCACAGACAATTAGACAGAAGGGAAAGTGAGTTCCTTTACATCTGTAAGGGATGAGAATGATCCTAACCAGTGCTCTCAGTCCTCATTTGGGGCCCTTTTCTGCTGACTTCCCAATGCTGGAATTCCTCTTCCATGAAGTGTAGTCCAGCACCCTCTGAAAGAGCCTCATTAACTTCAGAGTCCCAACATGGAACTCAAGAGTCTGGAGCACTTCTGAATTACCTGGAGCATCCTAAGACAGCTAGCTACATGGCCAGTTAGGGTTGTCTTCCTTTAATTCTGTTGTGGTAGAGAAGACATAGTTCTTGGGGCAAAGCTTCATCAGTATTTTGCCTCCTCACTGTTGTCTGTATTTTCAGGAAGTAAGCATCTTCATCGGAAGAGAAGGCCATCTGGGAAAGAGGAATAGCAGATCATCAGAGGGAAAAACCTGTGTGAGATCAGGTACTATTCCTGAATGAGGAACAAGGGCACAGTCCTTATCACCTTTTAAGGACAAAAAGCAGACTAAGCTCAACTATGTCCTCTTGCCATCTCTTGGAGGAGCTGTGTATGTGGTCATTTGTGGTTCATACCCTATTTCTGTGCTTAAGTATTGAGTGCTTGTTCTGAGGGGGGCAGACCAGGGGCATCAAAGGGAGAATTCTGAAAGTATCATGGAAAGAATGAAAGATCTTATGGCAAATTGGTATGTCATGCTTTGTTGATATCCATGGGAGGCCTGTCCCTTTCCAAACAGAAGCAGAGGAAGAGTGGATTGTGGAAGCAGATGGAAGGGAATGGAAGGAAAGAAGGATAGGGGAACTGCAGTCAGGCTATAAAATAAGCGAATAAATATATGATAGATAGATAGATAGATAGATAGATAGATCCATAAGCAGATAAAAGAATAAAAGAACCTCTAACCTAGGAGCACATGATCACTGCACTTTGGCTGGCATTTCATTGTCATTCAGGTTAGCCTGATATGGTTCTAAACGGTGTTCTGTCACTTTTACTTCACTGAGTTAGGAATAGTCAGTCTTGTCCTGTGAATTTGACTCCAGTATACCAGATGGGTATAATCTATCTCTTTCTAGGGTGAGGGTAAGTACAACAGGGGGCTTTCACCCTACAGCTGTCAGAGTTCAGCCTGGACAGCACTGAGAACCCACTGCCCTACTTTTATTCTTAACCTAGGGATGCCACATAGGTTCCTATTACAAAGCTTCCAGGAACTATAGTGAGACAGTCGGGGTCAGTTACATGTTCTCAAAATCATAAAGCAAAAGAGATCCAGCAAGTGTTAAGATTCCAAAAGTGAGGTGTATACTTGAACATGCTCAAACATTATACTGAAAACCACAGGTACCCCAAGGCAATTAGTCCCATATACTCTAGTGTACTTCCTGAATTTAGAATCTGCCATCTGGCTGAACCCTAAGAACCTTTATCATTTTCTTTTCTAGGTTAAAGGACAAGCCAAATAGAAAGGCTGTAGAACTCTGAGGCTATACCATATCACCTGGGGAAGACCTGTAAGTTGACCCTTGTTAGAGTCTTCAAGAGCAGATATTTCCCTTTGAGGTGGCTCACTCTTTTTTTCTTGCCTCCTATTGCCTCTCCATGCCTATAGAATCTTGTCACCCTCATTCCTGTTTCCATTTATGTCTTCTGTCTCCAGAAAGAAAAATAATGTCTCGCTATGGAAAGCACCCACGCCTCAGCTTGGAGGAGGAAGGTGTAAACTTCCAGGACCCACCTGAAACAGATGAGTTGCCACTGGTTCCCACAGCTGAGAAAGAAGAGAGAGAGGAAGAAGAGAAGTTAAAAGAAGAAGAGGAAGAAGATAACAATAAGCAGAAAAACAAGGACGATAACAACGAGAAGGAAGAAGTGGAAGAAGAGGGAAAAGAAGATGGAAAAGAAGAGGGTGGTGATGAAGTGGATACTGAAGAAAATGAGATGGGAGAGGAAGAAAATGAAACTGGAGAAGAAGAAAGTGAGACAGGAGAAGAAGAATATGAGACAGAAGAGGAAGAAAATGAGACAGGAGAGGAAGAAAATGAGACAGTAGAGGAAGAAAATGAAACAGGAGAGGAAGAAAATGATACAGGAGAGGAAGAAAATGAGGCAGGAGAGGAAGAAAATGATACAGGAGAGGAAGAAAATGAGGCAGGAGAGGAAGAAAATGATACAGGAGAGGAAGAAAATGAGGCAGGAGAGGCTATAGCAGACATAGCTTCCATCATTTTTCCATCTTCTAATGTTTCTTTACCTAGTTTCACCCCTTCTTCTCCTTCCTCGTCATCCTCCTCTTCTTCTTCCTTCCTTTCTCTGATTCAGAGCAACCTAGGGGGAAATGTGGGCTATTCCTCTGGGATGCTGAGTATTTTTCAGAATGCTCAAAGCTTCTTCCCCTCATCTGCCTTGGGGGGAAATTTAAATGAAGCAACCAGCTACCAGGAAGCAAGTTTGGGTGTCCTGCAGGCTCCAGAAAACCCTGATGCCTTCTTGAATATTGTGATACAAGAAAAGGCTACTGATTTGGTGTTTCTTTTCATTTACAAGTATAGAATGAAGGAACCCATCACATTATCAGAAATTTATGAGGTTGTCACAAAAGATTATGAGAACCATTTTCCTGTCATCTTCATTGAAGCTTCTAGATGCTTGGAGATGACCTTTGGTATTGATATAAAGGAAAGTGAACTTCTAAGCAGTGCTTATGTCTTTGTCAACTCACTGAACCTTACCTATGAGGACATGCTGAGTGACAATGATAGACTGCCTAGAAATGCTTTTCTGATAGTTATTCTGGGTGTAATATTCATAGAAGGGAACTGTGCTTCTGAAGAACGAATCTGGGAATTCTTGAAGTTGGTGGGAGTGCATGATGGGGAGGAGCACTTCATTTGTGGGGATCCCAGAGAGTTCCTCACCATAGATCTAGTGCAGCAAAATTACCTGGAGTATAGGCAGGTGCCTGATAGCCAACCTCCACGCTTTGAGTTCCTGTGGGGTCCAAGAGCCTATGCTGAAACTACCAAGATGAAAGTTTTGGAGTTCTTGGCAAAGATGAATGGGTGTGATCCAACTGATTTCTCAGGCTGGTATGAAGAGGCTTTGAGAGAGGAAGAAGAGAGAGCCTGGGACACGAATAATGGTGCAGATGGAAGCCCAAATTCGTGGCTTGTAGAGCGATGATTATCAGTTTCTCTTACCCAGTTTGAAGGATCTGTTTTTCATGGGTTCACTCTAATTTTGAAAAGAGCAGGAAATTTTTAAGTAGAGGAAATTCAATCTTAGGCTCAGTAGAAAAAGTTTAGTCACTATGTTAATTGGAGTTTTGCATAGATGTTTAACTTTGGGTTTGTTTTCAATGTTATTCCTTATAAGCAAAAGTGGATTAGCTTTAGAATCTATGACATAAACTGGTAACACACTTATTATTTTCTTTTAAAAATATATAGTGGAAAATCATGTAATGTTAACTTTTGAATTGATTTAATCCTTTTAGTTTATTCTGTAAAGGTAAAATGCAATGTATATTTACCAGGCTCATGTAAGTAAACAGGTCATATTAATAAATCTTAATAAAGACTGCTCATTGACTCATTCACCAAATATGAGTGAATCTTTTCTTTTTAGAAAATAGTATGATATTGGGGTGAGGTACATGGAAAAAATAAGAAACTTCCCTGTGGAGGGAATGGAAGATTCTGGGAACAGCTTTCATATAAGGAGCAGACTGAGATGTGTGTTAAGAAAGAACAAGTGACAGAGACGGTGGACTGATGAGCATAGGGGTTAAGACTGGGCTTGTTTAATGCACAGAAACAGCTTACCCTAACTAGGGGGAGCTCTCGAACCCCAGACTGATGTCTAGGAATCCAGCATGGGACTGATCCAGACCACGAATGCAGGTGTCAGTGAGGAGGCCTAGGCAATCTATGGGGCCTTGAGTAGTAGACCAGTATTTATCCCTGGCACACAAATGAACTTTGGGTGCCCATCCCACAATGATGGATGCTCTCTCAGTCTGGACACATGGGGGAGGGTCTGGAACTGCCCTAGATGAAATGACAGACTATGGACACCCCCCCTTGGAAGGCCTCGCCCTCCCTGGGGAATGGAGTAGGGATTGGGGAAGGGGTGAAGGGGGTTGGTGTGAGGGTATGGGAGGAGGGGAGGGAAAGGGAGCTGGGATTAACATGTGAAGTAGCCTTGTTTATAATTTAAATTTAAAAATAAAATAAAATAAAACAAACAAAGAAAGAACAATTGACAAGAGAAGAAGTCAAGTGCAAATGTTCAGATCCAATGAAATTTGAGGATTTGGGAAATTAAATATTTTGGAATATATTTTACATTAAGCCTTGAAAGGTATCAGGGACACAGGTTTGGTAGATGAAAACTAAGTATTCTATGCTCAAAGGTCCAGGGATTGATTTCCTAGGAAGAAAAAGAGTGTGTCTACAAATTATCAGTGCATTACTCTTTCGCCTGCCCTGTGAGTCAGGGCCCTCTCCCATACAAAGCATTAAAGTGGGTATTCTTGACTGCCACCTGTCCAAATTCAAGCAAGGTCAAGGATCTAGCAGCAGTGAAGTTACTGTACAAAGTTTACACAGAGAATTAACAGTAAAGATAGGAGAAGAGCAAGAGCTATCTTTTTATTTAACTCTAGGATAGATTCTCATTTTATCAGCTAAGCACAGCGCACTTACCCTTCTCCCAAATAATACATCATCTGTAAGGGAATATATGAATTTTAGTTGTGAAGCATTATTTCTGATTTGGTATTTTTCCTCCATGAGTTGCATTTTGTGACATACTCTGTTTATTGACAATAAAAAAACCCAGGGGAGAAGATGGCAGGGTCTATACTCAAACTGATATTCAAACTGATTTCCATTCATTAAATAACCAATATATTTGGGCAAGATGCCAGGTGTTTTACGATCAATACTTTTTCTCTCTGCTGCCACATTTCTCAAACTACTTCTGAGAGAGCAAATGAAGGCTTCTGATTCTTTGTAATTACCCAAATATCAGGCACCTAATACATGCCAGGTTTGGACAATAGTCTGTCTATAGCACACTTTGTTCCCTAGCTCCCTGCCCAAGGCAGGTCTTTGGTTTCTTATTTCATTTCTCTCTGTTCCAAAATGTCTCAGATGACAAAAAGATGCTGTCCAAATAGTCAAGGCATAAATGGGGATAATTTTTTTATTTCTCTTCTAGGGTTATCTTGCCCTTAAATTTCAAAGCTGTGTCCTTGGAAGTAAACAGCAGCTCTTGTTAAATGTCACATTTACCAGTCTTGAAATCCAGAGCCCCCAAAAGCATTTTATCATTCAAATAATCAGAAAATTAATCTCCATCAATAGATGGTTAGATTTATGTAATGACATTAAGATTACTGGGGTTGCTATAGATGTGATTTAAAAATTCAATATACCATCATAAGCTTCTTGCCAAAGACAACCATGGATCTTCTCAGAAAATTAGTAGTCAGTATATAAACAGACATGACCTGAGAGGCTACAGAAATATCCATAGGAGGAAAATTGCTGAAGTCCTTAGGAACAAATGCAAAGCCTATCCAGAGACTGATCATAGCTGTCACTTAGGCATGATTGTAGAGTTCAGCATAGCCTGAAGTAGGGTCCAGAGAAGAGGAGGTGTGGAATCTTGGTGAGGACCGTGCTTGTGATACACAATACTTCATCTGACTAGGCTTAGTGTATCCTTGAATTTTAAGTCCAACTTCAAGATTCAGTGTGGTCTGAGCATGCAGTTGCAAGGAGTGGGCAAGAGATAGATGTTCTAGATACCATGTACTGCTGCACGATACCTCTGCATCCTTCAAGGGAAAGTCAGCTCTGTCTTCTGCACAGTTCTGAGTGAGTCACCTCCTTGAACACTCTGACGAGTGTCTGTGGTCTCTCAAATGTGCTTAATGCACACCAAATGGTATGTAACAGAGCTATGAATCTGTTCATAGGGTCAGGGCCACATGGCCTGTAACTTAAAAATAGGCAGGAAAGAAGTCCAAGTTCAGTAAATAAAAGTATTCAGCTTAGAAATGAAGAACTGAAACAGAAATCCAAAAGGATGAAATATTGAGGGAAACACATCTGGGGACTCCTGGAATCCAGTTGTAGAGAGAGAGGAGTAATGAGCAAAAGGGCCAAGACCATGCTGGGGAAACCCACAGAAACAGCTGACCTGAGCAAGTGGGAGCTTACAGATTCCAGACTAACAGATGGGGAACTGCATAGGACTGTTCCAGACCCCCTGAATGTTGATGTCAATTAGGAGGCCTGGGTAATTTATGGGGCCGCTGGCAGTGGAACCAGTATTTATCCCTAATACATAAATGAGATTTTTGTAGCCCCTTATCTATGAAGAGAAACTCTTTCAGCCTAGATATAGGATAGAGGGCCTCATTTCTGGCCCAAATGACGTGGCAGACTTTGACTATACCCCATGGGAGGACTCACCCTCCTTGAGGAGTGGGTAGGAAGTGGGATGGGGAGATGGTGTGGGTAATTGGAGGATGAGAGAGGCAACTGGGATTGATATGTAAAATACGATTGTTTTTAATTTAAATAAAATTAATTTAAAAAGAAAACATAGAGAAGCAAGGAAAAAAATCGAAACATCATCATCTACTACCCATAGATTGCCTAGGCCTCCTCACTGACACCCACATTCAGTTATTTATCCCTGGAATACAAATGGACTTTGGGTGCCCATCCCACAATGAGAGATGCACTCTCACTCTGGACTCTTGGGGGAGAGTCTAGGCCCTGCCCTGGATGAAATGATAGACTGTGGACACCCCCATGGAGGGCCTCACCCTCCCTGGGGAAAGGAGAGAGTATTGGGGGGTTGGTGGGAGGGTGTAGGAGGAGGGGAGGGAAAGGGAGAGGGAGCTGGGATTGACATGTGAAGCAACCTTGTTTCTAATTTAAATTTAAAGTTAAAAAATTAAAAAATCATCCTCAGCAGCAAAACAATTTAAAAATATCAATGCGGAAAGCTGTAGTGTGACACAGTGAGTCACACAGTATACCTTATAGTCCATGCAATTTTACTGGTAAATGTTCATTGAAATGAGTCATTGGCCTGTTTTGAGGCCTTTACAAAATACTATCAAACCTTATTCATCAGCATAAATAATGGGTGATCCAGTATACGGGAAATTTACTCTAAGAATTATTTATTTTAGTATCTCAAAATAATGTATTAACATCATACAGAATAATGTGCAATAGTTAAATGATTTAGTTGGAATTGTTAATGGACTACAAGCTGCCTCCACTGTGACCCAATAAAGCAGAAGAGTCAGAATATGAAAAAATAGACATATTCAAAAGAAAGAGAGAGACGAGAGAGAGAGAGAGAGAGAGAGAGAGAGAGAGAGAGAGAGAGAGAGAGAGAGAGAGAGAGAGAGAGTCTCAGAAATTCCCAAAGATAGTGACAGGATAGGATATCTGAAAACTGTGTAGAAAAACAGTGGTGACTCAAAGAAACAAAAACCAAACAGAATTTTGCTCCACATTCTTGACATCCCATCAAAGAAACAGCCAAAAGATAAGCCAGGGAGTCCTGAGGGTAAGGATCTTGCACTCATTCTCACCTTCAAGGGAAGTTCACAGTCTTTCAAAATTCAAAAGCAGATGCAGGTTTTGGTGAGAGAGTAATTCTCTACAGGGTGGCCAGCAGTGGAAGGAAATTTCATTCTATCAAGCTCTGTAACTCGGACAGAAGGGACAGCATGCTAACTTGAGAGATAACCTATCCTTGGAAATTGAGCTATCCTGGAGTTGCAAGGAGGAACAGCTGCAAGATTAGGAGATGACATGTAAACAGCTCTAGGGTGAGAGACAGCCCAGGGAAGCAGCTGTGGGAAGAGACACTGGCAAAACTATAAGATGCCAAATAGACACAGTTCAGAAATAGTGTGCTTAGGGAAAGCAGCCATATTCATGGTTGTTGGAAGCCAATCTCAAATGAGAGTACTACTGGAGTTTGATTACATTAAGCCTGAGATCAGCCTAATAGTCATTCATTGCTATAAAGCCTGAAAACTCTGAAACACACACGCACACACGCATGCATGCACACACGCACAGTATCTGGAGATCATGGAATTATAAGGACAGATTTTCCACCTACACAGATTTCACTGCTTCTGGCTTCTTCCAATGTCCCAACAAAAATCCCAGCATAATTACTAAATCAGCAATATTTTTATGCTTTACAATTTTTACAAGCATGTTGTGTTCCTTATTTTCTTTGATGCATTTATCTACTTCTGTTTATCCTTTTATTCATTATCCAGCAATCTGTTTTCCTATCTTTATTGTTCTTTTTGCTTATAACCCCTGTGTTGACCCATTTTCTCTGTACTATAATTTTCATATTATTTTGTTGTTGTTTAAAAATAATTCTTTCACGGGGCAATGGTGGTACATGCCTTTAAACCCAACCCTCAAGAAGTAAAGGCAGGTGGATCTCTGAGAGTTCAAGACCAGCCTGATCTACAGAGTGAGTTCCAGTACAGGCTCCAAAGCTACAGAGA